GGTGTTAGTGTGGCGAGCAGGGGGCGCTCACCCTGTGGTTTGTGTGGGTCCTTATGCCCCAGCATAGTGATGTAGACACTGTACAGTAAAAAGGCACTGTCCTTCAGATGAGAGGTAAAACCAAGGTCCTGACTCTCTGTGGTCATTAAAAATCCCAGGGTGTTCCTCGAAGAGAGTAGTGGTGTTACCCCAGCATCCTGGCTAAATTTCCCATTGGCCTTTACAAATCATGGCCACAATTCTCATCTCTGAACTGAACTCACTCTTCTCTCCTCCCCACTGATAGCTGATGTGTGGTGAGCGTACTGGCGCACTATGGCTGCCATCGCATCATCCTGGTGGGGGCTACACATTGGTGGTGGTGGAGGGGAGACCCCATTACCTGTAAAGCGCTTTGAGTGGAGTGTCCAGAAAAGCGCTATATAAGTGTAAGCAATTAGTACTATTAAAGATCGTTTTCTATAGATCAACTCACACAACAACACTCCAAAGCCGTAAGAGTGACTTAGAACTGTGCAATGTGCAACAGTGTGCAATTTATCTTCTATCTGTCTAATTTTCTCTTCTATGGTACAGTTGCACCACCTGGCACAATCCAAGGGAGTGAAATTCAGCTCCGTGCTAAGATCGCTTGCATCTTCCTTTTATAAAAAGCAACAGGAGGCCCGTCTAAATTTTGACCAAAGACTGAAAATTGTTTACAAGAAAAACAAGAATTAAAAGCCCAGGGGTCTACAGATTCCTGCAGAGCTGCAGAACGACAGGTGGGAGTCAGACGGAGAAGAAGACAGGAGAAGGTGCCCCTACCGTTTCTCTCCCAGTCTCAGAAACCCACACCTCTTCTCTCTCTGTGTTCAGGAACAGGCTGAGTAGATCACGGAGATCTCCAATTTTACCAGCCTTTCCATATTTCCTGAACATCAATGGAGAAGACACTTGGAGATCAGTCCGTGCACTCCAAGAACGTTTCATTGAATGACAAGAGGTTTACTAATGTACAATGCATCTGTACACTGTAGACAAAGGTTACAACGGCAACTGTATAAAAACCAATGTATTGTAAAATGGGCTAATGTGCTGTGGTAAGTGGAGTACTTCACTTTCCAGCCAGTGCTGATGTCAAAGACAATATTCCTGGAGATAGCCAACAGAGAAGGGCCAAACCTTTTTTTTATTTTTAAGAGCACATCTCAGAGAAATGTACGTTTTTCCTGCCCTTTGCGTGGTGCTGGAATAACCAAGAGGTCCTCTGAGAGTGTCCGGGTGCTCTGCCAATTAAGGGGGGTTTCTCAAAAGATGTTTATTTTGAAGAATTCAAAGTGACAATGTATACACGTTTTTAAGTCTTGAGACTGTCTCATTTTTTTTCTTCTGAAAGAAAGAGAAATGTTTCATTTCATTCCAAGGCCTAGTAGTGTGTAAGATCAGACTTTTTGTACATGAAATCTATCTTCACAGCACAGGAACTACTGGCCTACTGTTCTGCTTTTTATGTTATAATTAGCAGTACCATCATTTGCAATACCTTCGCTTTGGTTTATCTGTTTAGGTTTATGGAATGGAGTCCTCCAGCCAGAAGAGGATGAAAACAACAAATGTATATGTACTGTACTATGTATATGTCCAGTATTTATACTTCCCCATGTTTATGCTGGTGCGTGGAATTCCTTTTTACAAATGACAGACGCCCTAATAATATGGAATACCGTAAGTGTACCGTAACTCCTAATTATGTTTGATGCATAATCAGAAACTCTGAACCTTGGAAGGAAACTGCAAGCATGAAAAACACAGCAAAACACATTCGCAGCAAGTCTTAATGCAGCACCACTCTCAGAGCATGTTATCACCTTCTTGCAAGTCTGTGTCCAGAACCGCTGGGGCAAATGAAAGTTCATTTTCTTTGCTCCCTGATTCACACACTTCAGCCGGCACTTGGTTTCCATCCAGTGGCTGGGTTGCTTGTTTTATTGGAGTGGCACCAAATTGAAGATTTTTACATTTACCAGCTCAGTAGAAAACCAAAACCTTTATAAATACAGGCACCACTCTCCTCAGATTTGCCCAGTCCCACTGAGGTTCTTTAAAGTACTCTGCAGCTAACAAAAAGAGGCAAACTTTAGAAACGTGCTGCATGAATTTCACAGTTTATCCTCTGACACAAAACCTCTGACGTGTGGAGCCCACAAAGTAAGAAGGGATTCAAATTGAAAGTCACAAGGAAATTGCCAAACTATTTTCTGTCTGGAATCAGGCAGCGTGCAGAGAGACAGGGTCATCCTGTCCTAATATCCTAAGCAAAGCATTGCTGATTTGGAAAAATCCTAGGCAGCTAATATCTAAAATCCTTGAATGGTTCTGCTCAAACTACGTCCATGCCACGCTGGCTGAAGTGCATTAAATCTCCTTCTTAAATTCAAACAGACTTGCAAACTACAGGGCACATGTAACACGGTGACTGAAAACAGATAAAATGCAAAAGAAAGCTAAAAAAAAAGAAAAAAACACTGCAATGTTTCTGTCTGTTTCTTCCAGTCACTGGAGAACAGTGCATTCATCCTACATATTATTCTGCACATGCAGTAGCAGTACCTGGAGAACAAGTAAGCTCTTTCACTACAGCAGCAAGTACAAGGCTCTAATGGTGTTTATGAAAAAGTCTTAATAACACACCAGAAAGACACAGCGAAAGGAAACCTACTGTTCCTGTATAGGCTCCAGCAATTGTAAGAAAAATCACATCAAGATCTGAGTTTATTTTGAGTTCAATAAATTCAGAAATATACATTTTACATTCATAAAATACATTTTACTTCCATCCTGCGGACCATTTCACTTTGCTTCCACGTGTTTTTGGAGGCATTTCCATCTTAGAAGACAATCAGCTGCACAGCAGCTTGAGTTACCTTTCTGTAGCTCCAGCACTGCCTGACAAAATGCTCTGACAGTATTTATATATACGCTCAAAAGGTCAGTGCTAACTGTGCACAAAAGCGAAGAAACATTAGAAACACAGCAGATGCTGTCTGAATCCCAGCTCATAAAACTAGCAGGCACTAAAGTACACTCAGTTGCTCAAACTAGGTCTGAGGTCAAGGATTTGGAGGTCTGGCTTCTGTCTCCATTGGCTTTTCCCCGGCGGGCCTGTTTCGCTCTGTGTGGGGGGCACTGAGCTGCAGGCCGTGACAGGTGTAGAGCGCAGTGAAAGAGCCCACAGGTAAACTGGCCATGCTGCCTCTGCCCCAGCACACAGTCCCTCTAGCCACCCACAGCTCCCTTTCTCATTCTCCGGTGACCCAGTTAAGGCTCCCCAGGTAGGTACAGTTCCAAAATACCACCTCACCCATCTGCTCCCCGGTACTTAAATTAGGCAAATAACATGTGTAACCAGGTTCCCCACACTGCTATTATTATTAAGAGCTGGGAGTGCTTCTGAATGTTGTCTTGCGCATGGGAGAAGCCAGTGGAGAGCTCGGATTTCAAGGTCATACAGAGAAGACACTTTGCTCAGTCTTTCTGAAGGAAGACTGAATTTGCTACCAGATCCCCTCACTGCGTTCTCTAATGTGGCCATTAATGGTTGTGCAGGAGGACATTTCAAATCAGAAAGACTGGGAAGAAAGACAGGAAACCCCATTTAGAAGAAGGAAAGGCAGATTTAATTTAAAAATTGGCACCCATACCTCATTTTACAGATGAAAGCTCATAAATGAAAAAATCCTGGATACCTGCCCAGTATGGAAATGAGAATTATGAGCAATGTCTCTGTCTCAATCATCAGGCCTGCTTTTAATATTGTGAATTAGCAGAGTACACTACATTTTTGTTTGTGAGAAAGGGCTCAATAAACACAGCCTTTCCTTCCCGGGGGGATTTACCCTACACAATGCATTTACAAATGGCTATGCTGTTCTGTGCCCTCACCAGTATCTATCATTCTTCTGATATTAATAAAATATGCAAACGTACAGTACAAACTCTTTATGTCAAATTTTTACTACCACACCATTTTTATACTACCAAGATTACCGCTATAATCTATGAGCCTGAGTCATGCCACTAGCCGACTAGGATTAGGATTCCTCAAGCAATGAAGCGCAATTAGCTGCTGAGGGTAAAGTGGGATTAATCGGACAGGAATCTCTCAGATTTCAGAGACACAGTGCCACCTGTAGCCTCTCGGGTGCCTGAAAGCCTGTCTTCCAATTAGACGTGAACCTCCTGTGTGTGCTGCCTGTGAAGTGTTGAATGATGACTGGCTCAAAGGGGGGTGGATCAGAGGAATCTGCCTACGCTTCCTCATCCTCTCCCGTGTGCGGTCAGAGCCGAGACATGAAAAAAGAACATTTGGCTTTTCCAAAATTAGAGCCCGTATAACAAAAACAATTGGCGATTCTACATTCAATAAATAAAAGAGTGCTTGCTGTCAACAGCATGAAGCGTTGCAGAAACCTTTAACCTGGCCTGTAATATTCCTTGTCATTCCATTGGGAAGTGTATTAATGCCTAGTCAATATGCCACCTGTACTCCACATCTCAAGGGTTATTTAGCTGATTGCCTAACAAATTTCCTGGACCTTGGGACCTTTCCCCTTGTCCCAGAACAGCAATAAAACCATATAAATAAAGAGCCTGGAGAGCAGCATTAAGCAATAACTTCTGGAAGGTCAGCTGGCTGATTGTTTTAGCTCGCATTGATTGCTCCATCTAACAACACAAACCTACAAGCCTGATAACAGATGGGTCGAATGGCCTCCTCTCATTTGTAACCTTTCTTATGTTCTTCTGTTCTAATCCATATTCATAAACCACTTCACAGCTCCACTCTCTTCCTTCCCAAACCAATTTAACAAGCACTAAAGCAAAGGGTATGCAATGCTTTCATCGTTTCCTTCTCCCCCTCCGTCCAGTCCAACCTTTCATTCTGCTAAAGGGATATCGACTTTTTTTTTCTCTCCGCACAGCCAGCAGGGCCTCGAATCCTTTTAAGTGTGACTCACCGCTGGAGCAGTCCAGGCCTCCCCAGCCCGGCTCACACTGGCAGGTGTCCGGAGAGACGCAGCGTCCGTGGGCACACTCCTCCGTGCACAGGGCTGTGGATACATGACCACATGGGGCTCGATTAGGGACACACCACACGCACACACCCATGCACCAGCCACAGTCACTGCGGCCTGGTGAGCCAGGACAGAAGGTGAAACAGACAAGTGAAATCTACTTCTGCTTCCTAGGAAAATGGAACTTTAGCGCAGAACGTAAAATAATGAATAGATCTCATCTTTCTAATACATTTGGCAAACAGCGGTACAGCATATAATTTGTTTTTGTCATAGATATATAAACTCAGGTTTATGGTTCAGGTGGGGAGCTGCGTCAGCATGCGTAGGCTGCAAAGGAACAAGTAATAGGTTTTTATTCCATGCTGAAAAAAAGAAGAAAGAAGAAAGAGAACAAATCTTTTCGGCCGTGGAGCCTTCTTCAGGTGTGTGACACCTGAAGAAGGCTCCACGACCGAAAAGTTGTGTTCTCTTTCTTCTTTCTTCTTTTTTTCAGCATGGAATAAAAACCTATTACTTGTTCCAACTCAGGTTTATGCTGTGTTTTAAAGTGCATGCAGCTACTGTGAGTTGTGAGATTAATTAGCGCTGGCTTTTATTTTGCCAATTTTGACACAAAAGGCAGAATTAGAACTTTCTTTAGTTGGTTCCGCCCCCTCATGGTTCCGCGAATAGCAAATATTAATCTCCATAACATTTAGATAAAGACATGCAAGATATAAACACTGTGGAAATGAGAGAAACTCTTTTTTAATGTAGCACTTGAAGTCCGCTATTCTTACAACAGCACAGAGTACAACATGGCAAGACTGAGCTCTTGGCTCACATATCAGTTTAAATCATTGACCCGCTTGATCACACGCTTATGCAGCAGTTTAAAAACCCAAAACAAGTTGTAATCCCCTCTTAATTTGATCAGCTGCACCTCTGTCATGACAACACGTTAATGAAACAGCCCACGGTATCGGAGTGTGCTACTTCTCTTGATCGTGCCTATTGAGCAGCCCATTGATCGGAGGCGATATCAGCATTCCTGGCATGCCTCTCAGATCGGCGTGGAGTTTGATTCCAGCTGGTAATAAAGTGACCTACATTAAGGTGTGCCAGCGTGCCAGCTTTTCAGAGAAAACGCATTTAGCTCAAATCATATTGCAGTGACCAAGGTCACCCCACCAGCAGGGTTTAAACGGGCAGCTCCTTATCGTGGACCAAAACAAAGGCATGGTGTGACCGAAACAATCTGTTTCGATTGTTATGAGCAGCTGTCCTAACTTCTATCAGAGAGAGAGGGGGACTTTCTATAAGACAGTAAAAGGTCTTTCAAATACGCGGGATCCACCACCTGTCATGACAACACCGGCCGCTTGTACCTCCACAGGGGTAGGGGGTCGGCCCCACTTTGCTCTCGCTCACGGTGTTGAAAGGAGCGTCCCAATTCAGCAGTACGAACTCTCAGTCGTACAGTAAAGGTAGTTTTCAAACCTGACATGAAACGCCTTGCGTTAATTACGAATTTCCACGTGCATAATGCAGGCAAACAAAAATTCCCAAACACAAGTTAAAGAGCGGCGTGCTCGTCTGGGGCTGAAAACATTCCCCGGACTGGCAGAACTGCCAATGAAGAGCCGGTGCTGGAGTGCTGTTTAACCCAGCAGGGAGCAGGGACAGCTGTGATGAAGCGTCTATTGAAGAATCGCTGTCTGGCACGACAGACCGATAGATTAACGCTCAGTCAATAGATTGCAGTGCCTAGGGGGAAGGACAGAAGAGCTAGGGGGTGTGACAGGGGGTTCAGAAATCAGAAGACCAGGGCAGCGGGATTCTCTTCACCAAACACCCCCCCCCATCCCCCCGCTACACTACTGACCCTGCCCCCCGGTCCAACCCTGAGACACTCCTAATCTCCCAATTGCTCGAAAGGCAGAATGCTAAACTAGGCAGTCACGCAAATAATACCTAAGAATCTCACAGCATTGGCAACTCTCAGTCAAACTGCCTAATTCCTGCCACTGCTAAAAAAAAACAGCAATTTGTGCTGACTAAGATGACAAACAGACTACTTGAAATCAATGGCACGATGCAGAACATTTGAAGAAGAAAAAAAATCTCAATTCAATACCGACAGAAAGACAGATTTATTTTTTTGTTTAAATCAGCGATTTCTGATGAAAGGGATAGAAGGGGGACAAGAAAGATTTAATTTGTTAAATTAAAAAAAAATTGAAAATTGAGTTGTGTGAATTGTGGCAAAAAAGGACATGGTTAATAGAGTTATTAACAATCAAAGAGCATGCACAGGTACCCACACCGGAATGAACTAGGTTTGTAAAATGAAAACTGCGTATTAAATTAAGTCCAGTCACTTAATCTCTACTCACAAATTAATTGCTTATCTAAGAATTCCGTTCTGAGACACAGCCTTTTATCTAGATGAAAGGGTAATCTAACTCACTGCACCAAGGGAGTTATCAGAAGAGGTAACAAAGGAACTAATTGTTAATTTTCATTCAGTGGTGATAAAAAGAATATTCCTATTTTTTGTATAAGAAAAGACAGGCAGAACTGTAATTCCTAACAAAGCATAAGGCACTTCTTTTTAAAGACAAATGACAATACTTAATCAAGGTCTGTCCCTAGTTTTGCATCGCTACAGAAACCAATATGTTTAAGGAAACTGTTCTATTTAGCAACACTGTATGACTAACAGGACAAGGCAGATGTTCACACATTTCTGAAACATACTCACTACTAAGAAAAAAGAAAAGAAAAAGAAGACAAGGGCTAACTCAGACAATACCAGGGGCTGTAGCTGATTTGTAGGGAAAAAAAAACTTGGATGCATTTTACGGGAGATAAAAAATCTGCAGACGCAAATATTATGCCTAACTGGCTTAAAGACAAATACAAGACTAAAATTAAAATAAGGTCAAAAGAAATCCAAAGATGCTCTTTCTCCCCGGCATCATCAAAGCCAGAGTTGGAGTATCCAAGCACAGCTGGATCTGATTCCCCAAAGCCACGACAGCAGCAGTATGGGGCTCACAGGAGGGTCTTTTAAGAATGATTATGGAGGCGGTGGGGGTCATTCATAATATCTTAGTGTTCCAAGAACATTCAGCATGTAATTCAGCATTCATGATTCTGCAGAGCAGTCTGGCCAGTTTGTGTCATGAAGACCAAGGTCCAGGTCTTCAGGTCCGATACCTGAATTTACTTGGGGGGTCTTGAGGTGGGTTCCATTGTGGTCCTGATTTCTGGCGCTGTGTTCATGTGTGATCACGCTGCCCATCGTACGAGCACCACTTGGGAAAGTGCAAAGCGGAGCCTCATCAGACTTTACAGCCAAAACCAGGTCAGGGAAATCCACATCGCTAGCATGCTACAGTACAGTTCTCCACCACAGTTCCAAAGACTTTTTTTTAGAAACGTTTTCTTTGAAGTTTTTAAAAAAGAAGCAACAAAGCCAAGAAAGAAAAATCAAAGAAAAAAAATCCTTTTAAAAAACATGAACCCAGTCTAAAGATCTTCCTGCTCATTAAAACTCAGATGTATTAAAACTCAGATATACTTGAAATTGATGTACAGAACTTTATAATTTACTGAACTGCAATTTAATATTTATTTTATCAACTGATTCAGACTTTGGATCTCTCTCTCTTCCCTATTGGTACTGTACTGTTCACTGGGAACAGTGAGTGTTTTTTAAATTTCAAATTTCAATCATTGAGTCCATGTTGGGTTGGTGACAACCTATAGAACAGCTGTAGAGAATCCTATAGCTCTTCCACAGCCGTGGTCAAGCCTCAGAGATTCTCACAGCCACAGCTTATTCCAATTTCTGTAACCATAAGCCATCTGAAAGCACAAGACCCGCTCTAGATGCGACACTTCTACACTCTCTGTTCTCCCTAGCGCAACTACAGCTTATTTAAATGACAACTGACAAGCACACGCAGGGCCGAGTACAGTATCTTAATCAAGGATAAAACCGCAGTGTAGTCACTAAATCAGAGCCCTAACGCCACGCTGCCATCCCCACACACAGCTCTTTTCAGATTCTAAGTTCTATTTTTGTTCTATGTTATTATTAGACGATAATATCTGCTCGTTGTCGGAAGCAGCGATGTTAGTTGGGGGAAATTCAAGCCATGCCTGCTGTAGGGTCTCTGTGACTGAATACACTAGCAACTGTACGAATCCTCAAACGTCGTGGGAGAGGTGTTGCAGCCTGCACAGCCCACAGTTTGCCGCGCCACGGTCTCATTCGCTCCAAGATGGCATTACACACGCCAGCAATTACCCACGCTTTTTTAAGGAGTTGCATGGTGCAGGAAAAAGAAGGTAACGGAAAAATATGTGGCACTCTCTCGCTTCTCACTCATCCGGTTCCTAGCTTTAAGACCTTCTGGGGCGGTGGATATGCTGCGTAACAGAAATCAGCACTTGCACTCCAAAACATGAATGGCCGGGAGCGATGGCAGGAGAAAGAGGGGGTTTCTTTAGTCGACTGGTCACAGCAACCTTTGCAGAGCCGGCACCCAGGAAAATCCCAATGGGAGCTCGCTCAGGAAAGAGATCCATCTCCGAGGCTTAACGACTTAGCAATTTCATGTGCAGAATGGGTGAAAGGGAGGTCTTTCAAGGCAGTGGAATCACTGAGTTGGCTCGAGACCTCCGGCCGCCTTCTAGTTTCTCCTCAAGGAGGGGAGGCAAAAAGAAAATGATGAAAATCCCCCCCCCCTCCCCCCCAATTAGAAAAGAAAAAAAAATCAAGGAAGAACAACAGAAAATTATTAAAAGATTAGGAAGACGAGTACCTTTAATATCATCTAGCCGTGCACGCTAAAACTCATTCGGAGTACAAATCTTTTAATCCTCCCGGAGATGCCTGCGGGCTTAGTGAGAAATTAACACTATGCAAAGACGCCATCAGAACAGCAAAGAAGCACTTCAGCACCACAGACAGCTCCTCTGAATAACTTTGCTTTTGCACACCTGGGAGATGGTAATCCCTAGACAAACTCTGCAAATTCAACTTCCAACCTCACTGTATACTATGGTTGCGTATATTACATTCTGCAGAGCACAGCGGGAAATAAATCTTTTTTTTCAGGAGGTGTTATTGCGTGTGTCTGTGCCTTATGTTTTACCTCACAGGACAAACAAAGGGGAGCATATCTGGCACTAAATTAAAATCCTTATAAATGGAAAAAAAAACACTTGTGATCTGCGATAATAAAATGTTTTAAGATGTTAAGGAGGGATAAGGCAAGGGATGTCAGCTTCCTCCCATGAAATAAATCTGCCTGACCACAAACTCTCCTGAGCCTAAAGACACAAAGGTCCTAAAACCTAAAAAGAAGCAGGTGACCCCTCCCCACTTCACCGGAAACGTGATTGCTCTGGCTGGCATCTCAGGACAGGAGAGAGGTGGGGCGATAGCTACAGTGAACATCTTCTCACTGTTGGCAGACCTTACACTTTCCATAAACTAGCTGTTCCCCAAATTAAACTTCCAAACCATATTGATAGACAAGAAATAAATTATTGATTAGCATATTTACGGCCCCTGGGACCCCTGCTAAGCCCACATGTGCTTGATGGTCCCCTGCTGGTGTATGAACGCTGAGGGAGGGTCAGGGGGCAAGGGGGGGACACCTCCAGGCCACTGACTGAGCCAGACATCAGACGTGGACAGCAGTCGGGCAGGGTGGCTCACGGGTGTGAGCAGTCACATCTTGTCAAGGAATCTCCCAAATTGCTTAGCAGTGACGTTTTAAGGGATTCTCATAGCAGGAAAATGCATACAGCAGGAAAAACCCTAGGTAGATATGCATTCGTTTCATTCTTTTTTAAATACTCAGAATCCCGGACATTAAAGAGAAGATTTCTTCTTCCTTCTTTGTAAGGTTTCGCTGCACAACTGCAGTGTACAGGACAGTGTGAATGAGGTCTTTGGGCAGTGTCACTCGACTCTATTGTTAGAATAATGCTTCAAAACACACACTTGGGTTGAACTAGGTGTAATCTACTGTAGTCTTCTCTCGCCTTCTGTTTTGCTCCTGCCACCACTTCATTCCTTTCCCTCAAACCAACGGTCTGAAACAATTTTCACTCTGACTGCTGCGAGGCCCTTCTGCCCAAGTGATGCTGTTAACGCAGCATAAGAGACAGTTTATGAAGTATTTTATCACAGGGGTTTTACCCGAAAGAAGAGCATAAACCTCACAAGTTACAGAGACAGCCTCCGATGAGAGGGAGTGCTTTTCACAGCATCCTGCAAATATTAATGCAGACCCTCGCAGACCCACTCAACATACCGGCTCCCTGCCTTCATAAAGAATTAAAACAGTCAACTGCATGATCAAAGCGAGAGTGAAAAGGGCAGCATAAAGAAAGCTGTGAGAGAAGGAGAGAGAGAGAGAGAAAGGGATACAGAAGAAAAACAGAGAGAGGGAGAGAGAAATCCATTTAGTAAATTAGATGCTATTTCCACCTGACTCACATTTAAAGGGAACCTTTCAATTAGCTTATGCTTAGAGTATTGCAGAACAAAAGGCCTGTCCGCTGTACTTATCATTAAGAAAGCAAGCAAGGAACATTTGAGAATTGCTCTACTATATCACGGTCAGTAACAAATCTCAACAATAAAGTCTGAGGCTGTTTGCCTGAAGAGCCCTTCAGGGCGATACCTCTCTGAGACGCCTAATAAATCTGTTTACAGCACTGGCTCGAAAAGAAAAACCACTTTGCCTCTCTGGACAACTGTTTAAGGAGGAGAAATGAAGATATTTCTTTCCAAACTTGGTATAGAGTATACAGCAGAAGAAGAACAAAACCAGAACTCTTGCTGCAAAGCAACATTAGGCGGCCGATGTATTTCCTTAGTGGTTGTTTTTCATTTCCACCCAGGATACCATCAGTGTACATGGTGCTCTGATGGAATTAAAAATCGTCTTTGACAAAATTAATGATCTTCTCAGCAGGAGCAGTTAAAATCCTGTTTCTTTACACAAAACACAAAATGCTAAGGTTCGACTTTCATTTCAAAACAGAAAAATAAAAATGCAATTATGAGCCCAGAAGAAATTCTACACTATAAACTTGCAATCCCCAAAATGTGCTTACTGATGAATCGTTTTGCGCATCCTTCCCATTTCTTTGATGCTGTTATTTTTCCCCTTTCATCCAGCCCTCTGTGGTTTTATGACTATTGTCTGATGCTGCTCCAGCCCATAACTTGATCCCAGGCAGGCCGTCAATTTCTTTTAGTGTTTGAGAGTTCAATTAAAAAAGCTCTGGTCTAGGCTGAGCAGTAAGGGGAACTACTGTGTGTGGGAAGGGAAATTCAGATGGATGGCACGCACAATAAGAAAGCAAGCAAGATAACAGAAAAGAGTTTCCAGTCTAACATGGCCAAGGCTTGTATGCTGCAGAGCTTTTGCTTTACATGATGTCAGGACATTTCATGCAATTAAAGGAACTTCCTTTACTTATTTTTTATGTTAGGCCATTGCTGTACTGCTACGCATATAGCCAACATGGGGACATGAACAATGTGGCTTAAAGACATAAAAGAAAGACAAAAACTGGTTGTAATCAGTGGCAGTTTAGGATTTTTTCTCCTAGAGGGTCTAAGGAATTGTGTTTAATTTCTGCGCCCACGGGAGCCTTTCAGAATTAACCTTTCAGAACAATCTCTCAGGGGATTTTTAAACAAGCTTTTGAAAGAACCCCAAAGGCACAACCTGAAGAGGGTTAGCCTACCGACAGTTCAAAACAACAACTAGAGTGGAAGCAAAGCTCACGGAATGTATTAGTGGCGTTGATTGGGAAAGCGTTTGCCTCATCAACACTGACTGAAAAAATACCAAATTCCAAATGCATTACCTGCCAAAATGGCTTTCTGAAAACAAAGCACACGCTGAACTTGACAGCACTTATCAATGACCTCTGAAAATGTCATTTTAAACAGCAGAAATTTTAATTAAAAGAAATTTGACAAGCTCACAGCCCTGGGGTATTCAGGTATTATTGTCTACCTATAATGCATTGTGCAGTGTGTGGCAGCAAATAAACCTTTTTTTTAGATTGTGAAAATTTGGAGAACTCATATGACGCTATTTTTTACATGACCAGGAGTTCAAAAAACCTTGTTCCTACATGAGATTTCCAAACCAGGTGTTTAAAATCTGCCACTGCTGAAAAGCAATGGAGGGTCCTGGCTCTGGACACAGGCAGGGCACCTGGAACAGGGCACTCGGAAGAGACCGTAAGGCAGGAGGAGACGTGACTCACGGACACACAAGTCCCCGCTCTCGAAGTACCCCGGGCAGCACTGGGACCGCCGCCGGTACATGGTCCTCACACCCCGCCGGTACGCAGTCTTGTAGCTGATTCTAGAAAAAAACAATCAGGCAACCAAAGAAAAATGTATTAGACTTCCATGCTCAAAAGGACACTGGCACCCTGCTCTGAGCCCACTCTTTATTATCTGCTGCTCTTCCCCATAGCCCTGGCAGCCTGCACAGTGCACTAACATGGTCTGTCCTACTGCCTTCCAGTCCATGAGAGCCCCCTCTCCAGCCTGAACACATACAACAGACCCAGACAGACCTGCCTCTGCAGCCTCTAAGACACCCTGGGCATCGCCAAGTAGTGCAAAAAAAAAGGAGTGAGCCAGGTCCGCCATTTGCAGACTGATGGATGTTTAGCTTGGTTGGGCTTCTATTTGTTCTCCGTTTGGTGAGCTTCCTGCAATTTGACAACTGTACGTTTATAGCAATTAAAGTGCTAAAACAGCAGACCCTAGCCTGGGATTGGAGGAATTGCCTCAGTGTCAGAAGTTAGAATGCAACACTTTGAAACATGAAGAAAGAAAGCAATACCCTGGAAAGGAGTCATTCAAAACTCACATCAAGGACACCTTGGATTGCAGGGTGAGTTTCAGAATAACGACACACCGTATGCACAGCTCTTAGCTGTCGACTATAAACCTGTAATGCTGTGATTAAAACTTAGGGTGCATGGGGGTGACTGTCAAATGAAGGTATCAGGAAGACAACCATAAAATGACTTTGTCTTTCTTTCTGACATGAAGCAATATAGAGAACGATAGATTTTTTTTATCTTTTAAGATAGCAAACTTGAACCTTTTCTCCCTTGACAGCTTTATATTTAAGTAATTTAAGCAAAGTCATTCAAAGCATGTGGTCGCTTCGGATATTAACACAGCCCTGCGCTGGCGGTTTGCGTGATGCATGGTTTTGAAGCAATTCAGAGGAAGTAGCTTTTCCAGGTTAAGTGCATTGCCTATGGTTATTGTGTTGTACCCACCTGTGCCTGGTGCATTTGAACCAGTTAAGAATATCAGTGCATCTGGTGTAGTAGATCTGGTCGAAAGGGTGGGCATAAGACTCCTGCACAGTCACTGCATAGCTGCAAGGAGAGCAGAGGAGCACCTTAACATCTTTGAAAATGACAGGTTTTACTTACAGCTGATTGCAGACTGGCTGCAGTAGGACTTTATTTCTATGTAGAGAGACAGATAGTAGCTCGGTAGTAAAATAAAATTCAATTATCGCTCTTCCTAAAACAATATTTTTCTTTAATGCAACATAATCGTAAAGCTCCAAAGAAAACAGAATTTAAGATCGCACCCTAAAAATGAAAATAAGTATATACAGATCGCACTTGAAGAAGAAATGAGACAATGTAAGTACCAGACATTAATCTGGTAAAGTACTGATGAGCAAGTAAGGAGAAAATTGTTATTTACCATGCTGTTTATTTCATACAACAAATTTATTGTTTAATGCTTTGAGGACCGCATTGTATTCCAAATTCCAGTTGTATAGCTTGATCCAGTAATATTGTGAATAAACTGACACATAGTTTGAGACTAAGCATACTGATATGCAAGGGGAACTGCGTTCTCCACACTGCCTTCATTTGCAAGTCTGTAGCACCCGGCTCTCCTGTCTGAGTTACAGTCCCCCCTCCTTCACGGAGAAGCTTTCTGGCAGGACAAACCCATCCGCAGAGATTACATCTAGTTCAACACGCACCAGAGGAAATTAGTCACCATATATCTTAAAGGGTTTATATTTCCCTCTTTGCATAAGGAGGAAGCGATTATCACAGCATATTTTTCACAGCTGACACCACCAAATACAACATAATTATTTCAGCGATAGGGTTCATTTGATTGATTAAGGTATAAGCACACCCATCAATCCGCTGGGGTGTTTCATTTCTATTTGCACTTTCTCACCCTGCAATGCTCCTGGCTCTGCCTGGGAAAATCAATGTGCGTGTGCTGTCTCTAAGCTGTCTTTGGCTGAATGACCAGGAGAGGAGATCTGACTCCTTATGTATAGCAGCAGCTTCATCCATTTCAGGTTTTAGGAGCAGCGGGGTGTCAAAGCAAATACATATCGTTCATGTCATTACAACTCTATATCTGCTTATACAGATATACCCAAGTTTGACAGATCCAGCATTTTGACCTGGTTGCACATACAAGAGCCTTCCGCTCATAAACCCTGGAATGGCTGAGAGTGAAAGCGTGAAACTGTCAAGCAAAGGACGGGGCAAAGGACTGGAAACCCTTTTCGTGGGATTTGGGAACCGAGAGCTTCGTTGCTGCTGACTCTAAGAAAGGCCTGATGGAATCCGTGCTGCTGGCAATGAAAGAAGCACGATGGACCACTTGATCTTCCCCCACCTCACTTGTTACCTTTCTTATGTTCTGGCCTGACTTGCATGCCTACATTCTCCTTTCTATCCCTAGAAAAGTGAAAGGAAGTCTCCTTACCTCTCCCAGTGACTGCAGACGTTGGGGTCATCTGGGTTGAGCCCCACTGCCCTTGCCAGGACCCCGAGAAAGGCCACTAGTGCCAGGATGCAGGGGGAGCCCCCTCCTGGCTCCATGTTCGCAGCCTGGGGAAAGCAGAGGCAAGTACTAGAGTTCTGTCAAAGCAGTTTTCACTCTCGACTCTACAAAATGATCTAAAAACAAAACCTGTTGTAAATGTAGCAATCCATGTATTAAGTCCCAACATAATACACTTGCAAATTCAGTCTTTGAGTTGAAAAAGAATACCAATGTCACAAAATCCTCCGATTTAGATAAACCAGGAAAGGAAAGTTTGTAATGTAATGGTGTCACAACAGAATTTGGTCTTTAAATTACAGGAATACTGAAGGGCAGCCTTATTTCCATAGCCTGAATATTCTTTGACACACTGGGACTTAATCTGTAAAACCCCAGAACCTCAAACAGGACCGTAGCACAAGAGTCAAAAAATTAAAAGGAGCACCTGCTTATTCACTACTGTTCCATTTGGAAAATGACAGTAGTGTTTTATATGCCAACTAAGAAAAACGTATAGAGAGTTGTTTCTGATTTTATAAAAGCAACACAACACGAAAGAAAAATACTTAACGCCTTCATGAACTTTTTGGAGACATATTGCTGTCTTCTAAGAGCAGAGCCTTGGGATTCAGCTGGAAATATTATAACAGGCACACTGCAGAGCAAGATAAACTATGGACCTGGGAATTTTCATGCAAAGCCATGTAAACGATATATAAAAGGCTATGGGTTCTTAAGCGAAACTGCCTGAATGCCCTTTTACAGCAGGGAAATGAACGCTCTAAGACAAACACAGTATACTGTGAAATCGAAAAGGCCATGGAGGCCACTACTGTACATCTTCACACACCGTGTGTTGCTTGATGGTTATGCAAATCACCCGATGAAGCTAAGGACTGACACCTGCAATGCAGCTGTTTATTAGACCTTCCTCTTAAAAGTATGACCATTTCTCTTTCCCAGGCCTTCAAGCATCCCGACAGTGATGTCAATAACATCACAGTAACCCTTCCTGGAGTACTGCAGAGGATCTGAGGGTCGGACATTGAGACAGGCTGATAGCAGCAAACCCCCCCCCCCCTGCCACCACCACCTCCTACAGCAGATGCGCTGAGTCCTGGCTCAGTCAGCAGCACAGGACTCAGATGTATGTAGTTAATTCATGAAAGGAAATCGATAGAACCTTCACTTCACCTAAGTACCAGTTCATATACAGAGTCAGAGGTTAAATTCAAGATCACCCTGGTAACACAATGATTAATTCTCCAAAACACTGAACAGCAAACTGCATCCACTCTCTCTTTAGCTCTCTGCTGCAGCGATAATCAGATTGAACTGAACTTTTTTTTACGAGCAAGTATGTCCCATAAAGAAGAACATGATTAAAACCACTGCTGAAACAAGAAATACGCTAATAGGGTCAATAGAAATCTAAAAGGCTTTTAAAAACATACAGGATTCAAATTACCAGATAATTTTAAGACTTGTGATTTCATTGATAGGAACAGTCCTACATGACATGGTCTGTGATTATGTGCTGATTTTTGATCCAATGAGAAATCTTGAAAAATCCATTCACAATTAACATTAATTATGGTGAATGTTCACAATGATCAACAAATTGAACTGAATTGGATTCGTGAAGAAGAATCCCTAAAACATTGTTTTGAAATACAAACACAGCTCCCGTTACCATCTACAAAGCTCAGTCTCCAACGCAGCTCACTCTGATTGAAATTAAGGGGGAACTGCAACACTATTTTTATATTCTGGGGTTTGAAAGAATCGGCATTGATGAATGCATTTCAAACCACAGTGAAAGTAAATATACACAGTAACGTGTAGAACCTCCAATTTACATCACAGAACAGATTACATTTCCAAGTACGCGCAGCGCCATATTCTGCGATTCAGAACAAGGCAACAAAACTTCCGGTGAAGTGAAGTGGCCCCTGTTACATTAAACAAGCCCTTCATTAGTGTCAAACTAGTTCCAGTAAACAACTTCAATCAACATTAAACAAAAGGCTTAGGTACACATGCATATGATGCACAAAACACAGATATAGGGTATATACAGTACAGTACCAAGAGGGACAAAAGCAGAAATTCCAAAAGAGCAAAAGCAGTTCTCCACACGAATCAGGCTCACCCCCAGCACTACCGATTCCTGCACGGTCTGTCAGTGGCCGCACGGTGACCAGAGGGGTCGAGCAGCCCGGGAGCTGGACCCGCTGAAGCCCACAGGGAGGTCTGAGGCCCCGGGCAGCAGGTGGACAGGGGGCGGTCAGTCGGGCAGGCAGGCAGGTGTCCAGGCGGTACAAGTCTGTGCGTCAGAGAGCAGCAGTGAGAACACTCCAAGGAAAAGCAGCATGATGAAGGAGGGGAGGAAGTGGATACTTGTGCATACATCACCATAGTAATGGAAATCAACGTGCAAGACAGGGGCACAGCAGCAACCCCACACACCCCACAGAACACGCACAGGTTATAACAAACGGATCAGTCATTCAAGTGAGGCTTTAAAATGAAAGCCGAAAGCACAAGTCAGATTGAAGACAGGTGCCCTTCAGGCTGTTTACCAGTTTATCAGAGTCTCACACAACAACTTGGTAAAGTGGCAAAAGTGCAGGAGGCTTTAACCTAATTAAACCATCAAAACCTCTGCTTTCTACTGAGTTATTTTTGCTCTTGAGGAGCTAATGACATAAAATAAATGACATGCAAAATCATGCTTTTCAACCACAGGCAGAAAATGTCAGTAATTTGAATTTTTTTCAGTCAAGGCATAAATGCTTAACATTCATGCTGGTGATCTGACCCCATTGAAAGAGGTCTCTGTACAGGCAGGGCTGTGCATCATGAGAGGACTGATATTCTGTGATACTAACAAGATTAATCTGCAGTTTGCAGCAATTTGGGCAGGAGATTTTATGGTAATTCTGACAATATTTTGTTACTTTAAGATGTCATGCATGGTACAATGATTACCATTTTTGTCCTGTGAGACAAAAAAATATTTTTTAATGTTGAATAATAATCAATGAAGTAACCACAGTTTACTGTGGTTTTTAAATAAATATTGAACCCACAAGCCCCTCCCTTCATCTCCAGAGAGCAGGCCCTTAATTTCCATGTTTTCAGGGTAATTGCACGCCCACTCATTCTACTTTCCAGGGTGAAAGCTTGCATTATTACAGGCAGGTTCGTGTCATTAATGTCTTTCTGGATTGCCAGCACTTTAAGTGATTTCTCAACAGTGGCTAAATCTATGCCATGCCATTATTACAATTATTGTAATTGTCTTGGGCAGCTCTAACGAAGGGATAATGACAATAATAAAGTTCTGCAGGTCTTATCAGAAGCCCAGGATTGTTCCACAGATGACCAGAGGTCACTGCTGTTTCTCTGCTCCCTGCTTGCTTTCTCTGATGAAGGTAAATGCAACAAGCCTGCTGTGAATAATTTGTGTCCGTTTCTCTTTCAGATGTATGTGCGGCTCTCCGGCACCCGGTGGAGGCAGGCGGCTGACTGCAAAGAACTACTCAGCCCCCCTCACCTCACCTCACCTCACCAGCGCCCCCTGTGGCCTGCTCCGTCTCTGCAGCCCAGCTCTCACTTGACCGGGCAGACGCACACCCGCCCCGCCCCGCCTCCAGAGAGGCAGTCCCACTCAGGAGTGAGGTGTTACGCCAATCAGTAGGAGGAGAGGCCATGCCACTTCCAATTACTGGACATAACAAACCATGTCATCTCCTGTCGGGTGAGTAACTCGTTCTTACATGATTAGAATAAGAGCGAGATTAGACACAGGGTTGCGGCTTTAGAGTTTCCATGCAATTACATGACATGTCACGGTCCTGGCGGTGCGTCTGTAATCACACACTTGTGATTAACACACACATACCCCCCTTCTCTTTCTCGTGCTTAAAAATGTTGAACATTCCTGAGAACTGAGTTATCTGGGGAATAACTTAGCACATTGGAAGCAAAGTGCTCAGAATAATTGAGGTCTATTATTTATTTGCAGGAAAGCATGAAAAGCAAAGCTTAATCAAGTTATTCAACAGAAAGGAAATGGGTAAACTGACATTCAGCAGGGTGGCTGTGTGTCAGTGTGCGTCAGTGTAGCTGTGTGCGAGTGTGCGAGTGTGGCTGTGTGTCAGTGTTGCTGTGTGTGAGTGTGTGTCAGTGTAGCTGTGTATGAGTGTGTGTCGGTGTGGCTGTGTATGAGTGTGAGGGCGAGTGTGTGTGAGTGTGTGTGAGTGTGTGTCGGTGTGG